TTTAAAATGTTATTTATTTTTTTCTTTTTTACTCAGAATTAATGATTATCATTCATTCATAATACGTTGTTATACTGAATACAGAAGATACAAGTGTTTATTAACAGTTGTCTACGCAAAATAATTCGTATTCGTTGGCCAGATACCATCAGCAACAACTTACTGTGGGATAGAACAAACCAGATTCCTTCAGTGGAGGAGGAAATCATGAAGAAGCGGTGGAATTGGATAGGACACACACACACTACGAAAAGCACCTAACTACGTCACGAGACAACCCCTCACATGGAACCCTCAAGGCAAAAGGAAAAGAGGAAGGCCAGGAAACACATTATTCCTAGAAATGGAGACAGAGTTGAGAAGAATGAACAAAAATTGGGCAGAGCTAGAAAGTTTAGCCCAAGACAGAGTTGGTTGGAGAAAACTGGTGGCCGGCCTATGCTCCATTGTGGGGGTAACAGGCGTAAGTAAGTAAGTAAGTAATACTGAATAGTTTTAGTTAAACCCTAACCACTAAATATCATGAAGTATTGAACGAGTATTGCGTCTAAAGATTAAAAATTCCTTAAAATTTGAGCGTACATCCTCTTTTCTATTAAGGATTATGAAATTCGGAACATTCAAGCGTCTAAATAAGGAGTGTCTGACGTTTATACTACTGAATTGACATCCAATGACAAAAATATTTATCACAAATATAAACTGAGCAATACTTGTCTCACGATCAAGAAATAATCATAAACCATGATAATGACATTTTGTTTCAGTCACTCAGTCGGCTACAATGTAGAACTTCTTGATACGTACGTTCATCAGTTCAAGTTGCCATTAACTACATTAACACAAAGAGAATGAAATCGTCAATTCAAATCCCATAGTAGTAGTGGTAGAGGTAGTAGAAGTATTAACAGTAATCTCAGAGATTAGGATTCGACGATAATTATTCAACAAGTAGAATCTAATGAAATGAACTTAACAAAAAAAAGATACAGGTCACGAAGAACTCCAAGGGTTAGGATTTGACAAAACACAAAAATTGAATGAAGTAAAGGTAGGAAACATTTTTGTTTTGTGTTTATCATAAATAATGATCTCATAAAAATATTCCTCATAACTTATGAATAACCCCCTAATTGAAGATTATTTTCATTAAAAATTTTTTCATAAATGTATACAAATTAACCCTTTATTGGCAAGGTTAATTTTACATTTGTTCTCATGTGGTGCGCGCTACTTATAAGTAGTATATCACGTGAGTGATAACGTAATATCTGGCAGCAGAAGATGTGGGGAAGATCAAGAGAAAGGAAGAGTTAGATAGAACACAATGGAATTTGTATGAAACGCATGAATAGTGACAATGGATTGATGTTTTGCAACAGGAACAGTCCAGTTCGATATGATGATGAACTGATATTTTGAAAAATTAACGATTTACGGTATGGTTTTCCTATTTTACTACTGAGTAACTCTGTAATTTTCGTTAAATACAACCCGGTTGCCCTCAACTGTGCTCTCGTTCACTACAATACTACTTATGATTACTATTGTCAGTAGTAGGTGATCAGTTTTGTTAGCCGAATTATTATTATTATTATATAAATTAATTAAAACATAATTATAATCTGTAGAGTAAAAAAAAGTTGAACAAGAAAATTAAAATGAACACTGACTGAAACGGTTTTTTTTTCTTTTTCTGTACAAAATTCAATAATAAATTATGCGAGCGGGCATTTTAAAATGAAAACGAAACACATTTCATGTAGTTTCATTTTCCAATGTGGATGGAGTAAAAAAAACAGAAAAAGAAAAAAATTTTTTTTTGAGAAAAAAAGCCACCATCAATTATTATTATTATTTTTTAAAAATCCCTCGTTTTCCCCCTGTTTTTTCTTTTAATTATATGGGTTACTACTGTGTTTTTTTTAATTTTATTTTTAAAATGGAAAGAGAATTTGTTGACAAGAAATCTATTTGCTTTTAAAAAAACAAACAAAACAATGTGGTAATGAAAACTTTGATGTTCATAGAGTTTTAATGCGGGGAAAATAAAAATAAATACAGTTTGCCTACAGAGTGTGTGTGTGAGAGTGAGAGTGAGCATCAGAGAGAGAGAGAACGAATTTATTTTTTTTAATGTATACAGTTATACTTTTAATAATAATAATGCAAGGAATAGTGATTCAGTTGATATTGTTTGGAATATTGATGTAACAGGAGAAATGAAGTGGGATTACCCTCTTTTAATATCTATCTATCTATCTATATATATATATATAGATGAGGAGTGACTGACCCTGACACTACTGAATCGATGTCATTTAAGCAGGATGGGTTGAATTGGCTCGTTTGTGCGATGCATAGTCAGTCAGTCAGTCAGATGCAGATGTAGAACTTTGTACGTAAGTACATCAGTTCAGATTGCCATACCACACCAGCACAGAGGTATAATTGTCAATTCAAATCCAATAGTAGAAGAGGTAGTAAAGGTATTAGGAGTAATCGGAGAGAATATGATTAGAAGATATTATTCAAGAAGTATGATTCAGTGAGATAAGGATAGAAAGACAAAACTAGAGGTGTTGAAGAATCCAGAAGATTACGATTTGAGAGAACACAAAGAATAAATGCACCGGCGCCATTGCAAACGGTTTTCAGCCATGTTGTTCAAGGTTTCTAACCATCGATTATTATCATCTCGCGGACCCCAACCAGGTAGTCGACATCTACCGACATGACTCAATCCACTTGTCAATGACTTGATTGATTTCTGCAATGTTTTGGTTTGGCCACCCCTATCTTTCTTCCAACCTATTCCTACACTACAAAACAAAGCCCGACGAGGCAGTCGGTGGTTAGGCATACGCAGTACATGACCCAACCACCTCAACTGATGAAGTTTCATTACTTCATCTATTGATCTGCCATCCCTACCTAGCACCCGTTTCCTAATAACAGCGCTGCTCACTCGGGTGTCCTAGGATATACGAGCAATGTTTCGAAGACACCTATGATCGAAAAGCAGTAACCGACGAATATCTTCTACTCTCACTGGCCATGTTTCACAGCCGTAAAGTAAGACGGAGCGAACCACTGCTTAGTACACTCGTCCTTTAGTCAGCGAATGGATATCTCGCCTACGCCATAATGACTGACGCGATCATAGATCGGAACTAATCACTATATATATATATATATATATATATATATATATATATATATATGTATATATATATCTACGGAATAAGTTAGTGATGGTATTCGTCACTGATTGATAGCGTAGCATAACTTCGTCAAGTTTTAGTGAAAACCATTGGAGCTAATCGATAGTGAGATAATTATCACCATTGGTAGGCATGGAAGAATTTGCGTTCAAACAAAAACTACTTATTGTGAAAACTGTTAGTTTCTTACAATTGATAATTTTTCTGGTTAGTGTTTTTTTATGGCACGTTAGTTTTAGTTGAGACGGGGGCTTTAACCCCTCCTCCTTTATTTGGGCTTGGGACCGGCAGTAGCCCCGAAGGGACTACAGGCGGAGTTCTTACAAATGATTCCTTGATGATAATTAAATGTTCATCGAGAAACTAAATAAATATTCACTCTCTTCCATTTATCGAAATCAATATGATGTAGACTAGAGTGAAGATAAGGTTTTGTGCTGTTATTCACCTGGCCATTTTATGAAGGAGTTCAGTAAATATTGTTAAATGGTTGAAGAGAGGTGGTGGCTATAGGTATGAAAATATATACATACCTCTAAGATGCATTATTGAAACGTAATAGTCACAAAATGTTCAACACTGATGATTACAATTCACACACACGCACACAAATACAACCATCCGAAAATATGTTAATTCATAAGTGTTTAAGTGTGTTAGTAAGAGATATTAAGGAGTTTATTATGAGAATGAGTACCATTTACTGTCGAAGCATAGAGTATAACAACTAACTTCAAAATGTCTTCTATCAGTGAGCTAATTACACGTCATTAATGACTTATTAAGTGAATCAAATTAGCACACACAGAGTAAATATAAAAATTGACTAGAATTATATATCCACAACTCTCGCTACTACCCTTTGGATGCCGAAGATATTTGGTTCGATTCTTACGTGTAGCAGCAAAAGTCCTGGATGGACACTGCCACTGATGAGTTTCATATCAGTACGAAACAACTGTCCAGTAGTGCTTCAAGGTCCCTAACAATGGTCTAATAACGATCGATTCGTAATTTCAAAACAACTCCACATTTAAAACTCCTAACTAATAAATACTATGTTTGGAATTAAAAGTTGGAATATTTGTGAATTTACACAACTGAAGTTTCAAAGCCAATGAAGATTTTTAATAAAACAATATATATTTGAAATCATCCATCCTACGAGGAGTAGGAGTCATCGTGGATGCACACAGTGCCACTGATGAATAGTCCCATAACAGAACAGGGAAACGGCCGTCTTTTAGTGCTTCTTCCAGGTTTCTAATGGTGTTGTGATCTGGTAACAATCAATGATTGATTGATTGATAATTTCAAAAATGTGTAAAAAAACACAAACCTCCAAAACTCTGCCCCAAAATACAAACTATATATTACCTATCATCTATCCATTAACTTGGAAGTGGATAGGACATACACACTGCGAAAAGCACCTAACTGCGTCACAAGACTAGCCCTCACATGGAACCATCAAGGTGAAAGGAAAAGAGGAATGCCAAGGAACACATTACGCCGAGAAATAGAGAAGGACATGAGAGGAATGAACAAACATTGGACAGCACTGGAGAGGGAAGCCCAGGACAGAGTTAATTGGAGAAAACTAGTGGGCGGCCTATGCTCCATTGTGGGGGTAACAGGCGTAAGTAAGTAAGTAAGTAAGTAATCCATTAACTACTGTTATTATCAGTAATTAGTCATTTTATTTCTAAAATCGATCAATCGATCGATCGATCGATGAAAAATCAATAAATGCGCCAAAAATACTCAATCAATCAATCACTCACCTTTATGCATTCCAGTAATTTTATCTCTTAAAATTAACAAATCATAAATTGGTCCAAATTGTTCAAATATCATGCGTAAATCATTTTCTTGCATATTTCTTGGTATTTGTCCAACAAATAATTTGGTACTTTTCATATTCCAACGTAAATCATGATTGGATTCTTTATTTTTTAAACTATTAAGTGGATGACATTCCACCAGTACGGATGATGATGTTGCTGATGCTGATGATGATGACGATGACGACGTTGATAAGGATGATGTGTGTATATTTGTGTGTGTACTGTTATGTATAATGTTAGTGTCAGCGTTGTTGTGGTTGCTGCTGTCATTATTACCAGTCATCCGATCCTCATTGGTTGTTGCTATAGTTATCGGTGAATTACTGCCTGAATCCATTTCATGTTCATCCATAATAATTGAACTGTTACATGATGACAATAAGGCATCATCACAATTTTCAAGTAGTAAATGCGTTGTGGTACCATTCAAATCGTTATTATCACTACAATGACCACTGCTACTGCTGCTACTGCCACTGCTACTTATACTACTTGTGATACTGTGATTATTAGTAGTATTGTTACTCCCACTGCCAAGATGATTACTATTATTCATATTCATATGATTATTATCATTACTAGTGGATATTTTTGTAGTTAATTTTGTTAAATCAGTAAAACTTGATGTGATTGTCATGACTGGCGGTTGATTAGTAGTGATATGGTGATGATGATGATGATGATGACGTAATGGTTCTTTCATGGTATTCAACAATTTGGTCATTTTATGTAGATCGATAGATTAGTTTTTGATGACAGTAAACACTGGGTTTTTTGATTATTAGGACATTTGTATTCTTCCTCAAATGAAAGAATAATGTACAAGTTTAGTAGTTTTGATTAGATCACACTAGTAGTATAGTTGAAATTTGTCAGTTTTCAGTATAATAAAATAACACCAGATAATAATGATTTACGTTGAACACAGTGGGAAAAAATTTTTAAATAAACTGCTACTCTATACAATTTGTTAATAAAATTTTTAAAAAAAATTATTCCTCTGTGTGTTGGTTGTTGTTTCCGCACTTTACTCACTCACTCACTCACTCACTCACTCATAATTAATTTAAGTCATCATTTGTCGAACATTGCCCACAACACATTTTTTTCGGTGGGGAGTGGCGGGGGGGCGAGGGAAAGATGATGATGGGATTTAGATAGACACAAACATACACACACACATACGCACACACATGCACATACACACAAAAGAAAGGTGATAGATAGTGAGCAACACACGCATTCACTTGTACATTTACATATGTTGGGCAAATAATCCCAAGAATACATGAAGTGAAGTACTCATTATTATTATTATTTATATATATATATATATATATATATATATATATATATATATATATATGCATGTTTTATGTGTTTGTTCATGTGAAATAAAATCTCATCTATGTTTTTACATCTGTAAGTGTGTGTCATGAGCATTTCATGTCAACAACATTGTTGAAAAGAGAGAGATACACACACACATACATTATTGTGTCTGTCTATCTATCTATCTATCTGTCTGTCTCTCTCTCTCTCTCTGTTCATTACTGGACATTGTGTCCCCACAGTTGTTTTAGTTTACATATTATGATTATTATTATTATTATTAACAAATGTGATATATACTCAAACATTGAACATGTATGTATATTTGCCCACACACCACACTCATTCATTCATTCATTCACTCACTCACTCAACCCTCCTCCTCCTCCTCTATTGAACACATTGATAGTAGTAGATGAGCAAATGAATTCATGTATTCCGGATGATTTGAATTAGATGTTATAATAAAAAAAATGTGGATAGGCCAGTTAAAAATTAACTAGCATAGATATATGTATGTATATGCATACTTACAACATGAAACATATAGACATACATTGATTTACAGATAAGTGTACATTCGTTATTTTTATTTACTTCATTCAATTCGAATGTAAGATGATGATAATTCAAAGCTAAAACATTTGATATCATGAATCGACTAAAGTTAGACCACCACCACCAACAGTAGAAACTTGGAAGCAGTGGATCGACGTTTCGATTTGGTATGGGTCTCATCAGAAGTGCGAATCCATGACTCCTGCACCTCACAAGATTCGAACCCAGGACCTTCGGACCAATGAGCCGGTATCTAATGGTGTTAAGGTCTAATTTCGATCAATTCACAGTCTTGTTCAACCTCATACACTATCTTCGGTAGTTACTGCTTATTATACCCGAACAGGTTGAACTTCATTGGTCACGACTTCGTACTAGAACTTAGAGAAGATTCCTCATGGAGCTAGTCACTAGTGAGCACATGTAATTGAATTACGGGGTTGTGAAGATTGTTAAGTTACACATTTTTAAAACCATGAATCGATCAAAATTAGACCACCACCAGTAGAAACCTGGAAGCACTGGATGACTGTTTCGACCTGGCATGGGACTCATCAGCAGGTTTCTGATGGTGGTCTAACTTTGACCTATTCACGATTTTCAAATGTGTAACTTAACAATCTTCACAAACCCGTAATGCAATGAAAGCTAATAATATTAATTAACTCCACCTGAAGCCATTGTGGCGTTACTGCGCGTCCCAAGCTTGGCGAATAAAGGAGGAGGGTTCAGCATGGGGTTAGCGACTCCAAAGAGTGGAAAACCAATTCGCTAAAAAACCAGCAGCCACAAAAATTAACTCTGCTATGGCAGTTCGAAAGTACTCATTTAGAAGAATTATGACGTCTCATGATGAAAGCTGAGTTTCTTCAAAAGTCACGAAGCCGATATCCCTTCTCAACCAATAATATAAGTACATGGAATATTTGTACCTTGCGTGAAAGTGAGAGAGTCATTTAAGTTGTTGCAGAAATGAAAAGATGTAATTTGTTGGTACTAGGAATCAGAGAAACACTTTGGATGTCATAGTAGATGAATCACCTGATATGCTTTAAATTATTACGAGTTCACCTTACTTAGTAAATGGAGTGAAGAAAAATGACGCAGTGATAAGACAGGCTATTCTAATCTGTTGTCCCCGGCCCGGCTAACTATATCAAGAAGTTTTGATAATGCGTAGAAAAGCGTATTGTACAAGAACCCAGAAAGTACGAGGTCAATAAGCACACAAATCGAGTTTATTTATACATGATAGAAACATCCTTGGGAGAACCACAAAAATAGCTTCCGAAATGATACATTAACCAATCACAGTCAAGGATTTTCCGGTTGGGAAATGTAATCTGAAGGTCATCTGAGCAACTTATGCGCGAAAGTATAAAAGATCCAAAATTAAGACCTTTTCCAGGTGAGTTCTGGCAATCTAACGTCCCCAATATCACCACTAATTACAGTGGTATAAAGGTAAGTTTATTAATAAATCAAAACTAACCGGACTGATAGAAATTGTGATCAATGGTTGTATTGGAAACCATGGAAACGATCTATATATATTTTCATGTAATTACTGAGAAAATCCAAAATTTTTAGATTAGTCTTTTTTAAGCAATCAATATTCATTTTACTGTTTTCATGAAATTTGCATTAAGGTTTGGATTACATTTGAATTGATAAAAATATCACGTATTCAAGGGAAAAATACATTTTCTCATTAACTTAAATGTGTGTACGCACTGATGAACGTACATGCATGTGGTGTGTACGTGTGTGTGTGTGTGTGTGTATGCGTGCAATAAACTTGACTTGATTGAAAACAACATACAGAAATTTCTTTGAAATAGTCACGAATTAGACAAAAACAATGTATTACTTGAACTGAAAAAACCGGATTGGATAGTTTGAATGATAATTTTTGTGATGCTTTCATTGTTTAACACCATTAAGACCCGGCTCAGTGGTCCGATGGTTAGGCGTTCGCCTACAATACCGAAGGTACTGGATTCGAATCTTGCGGGATGCAAAAGTCGTGGATGCGCACTACCACTGATGAGTCCCATGCCAGGACGAAACAGCCGTCCAATGCTTCCAGGTTTCTAATGGTGGTCTAATATTGATTGATTCATGGTTTCAAAGATTTGTAGCTTTCACTGTTCTTCAAGTATTTTATATACACAGTACTTTCTAGTTATTGTTCACCCCGTTTAGCGGATGAAATGTGATATTTTAAATCATCAATCAATCAATCATTGTTATACCATAAACATTAGAAACCTGGAAGCACTGAAAGACGGCCGTTTCGTCTTGGTATTGGACTCATCGGTGACAGTTCACATTCACGACTCCTTCACCTCACAGGATTTGAGCCTGGGACATTCGGTTTTGTGCCCGAACGCCTCACAGTTGAACGACTGAGCCGGCATATACGGTCCTAATGTCTACGTCTGATTGATCTAGGGATTTCACGCGACCTCACCCATTTGTCTTCGGTAGTTACTGCCTACAGGTTTCTAATGATGGTCTAACACAATGATTGGCTGATGACTTAAAATGTGTAAAAACACTAATCTCCATAACTCTAATTGGAAATATGATATATATATATATATATATATATATATATATATATATATATATATATATGAGTGTAATTTTATTTAGAAATGATTGAAATTATTCGAATTGTCATCTATGATGTGCACAATGAAGTAAGTATATGAAGTATTAGAAATGAAGATTCAAACAGAAATTACAGTTCAATATTCTGCATTCATATAATGCATTACGGGGTTGTGAAGATTGTTAAGTTAAACATTTTTGAAACCATTAATCGATCAATGTTAGACCACCATTAGAAACCTGGAAGCACTGAAAGACGGCCGTTTTGTCCTGGTATGGGACTCATCAGTGAGCAACCAAAACTGCTGCACCTCACAGGATTCGAACCCGGGACCTCCAGTATTGTGCGGACCGTTAGAGGAGTCCCATACCAAGATGAAACGGCCGTCTTTCAGTGCTTCCAGGTTTCTAATGGTGGTCTAACATTGATCGATTCATGGTTTCAAAAATGTGTAAATCATATAATGAATACAGAAATTATTGCTTAGTAAACAAACAGTCGAACTGTTACAAATCACCTTAGTCAACACAACAGTGTCATTTCTGATTGAAAAGTTATTGACTTCTATGCAGTGAATAATTAGTATACTGATCAACTATACTAGTCATTAGTATACATGAATTGAATTCAGTCCCCGAAACCATCAGTAACAATCTGTTGTGAGAGAGTGAGTAAACCAGATTTCACCAGAGGAAAAAATCGAAAAAGAACCATTGGACGTGAATAGGACACACATTTAGGATAGCACCCAACTGCACCCTCACTTGAAATCCTCAAGGCTCGAGGAAATAAGAAACACCCAAGAACTATATCGAGCCTCAGTATTGAAAGCAGACATAAAAAAATTGAACAACAATTGGATCAGACTCGGAATGAAGGTTGAAGAATGCTGGTCGGTGACCTTTTGCTCAATTAGGAGCGACAGTTGTAAGTAAGTAAATAACTGATGAATTCAGTCGGTGCAGACAGAGACGGAAAATCAGTCCTTCATTGTTGAACAATAGTCACATTGTAGTGAAGGAGAACACAGGTGAGGGCAACCGAATTGTATTCAACGAAAATTACAGAGTTACTCAGTAGTAAAATAAATCCATTGTCTGACATTTCACTTATTCATGCATTTCATACAAATTTCATTGTGTTCCCACTCGTCCTATCTCTTGATCTACCCCCATCCTCTTCTGCTGCCAGACAATACGTTTACACTCGCATCATATACTACTTATAAGTAGCGCACATCACAACTATACTGCTTCACTTGTTTTTCAATGTTCAATTATGAAATAAGAAGAAAAAAGTTTTCACAAATCAAAATATAACATA